AATTATATTCCTTACATTTGTAGGAATATTAAAATTCCGTCTTCCCCAAAATAACAATGGTGTGTTTCCTGAGTGAAGAACCTAGTCCCATTCACAGTTACGTATCGTAAGAGAAATACCCTCACCTTATGCAACAAATCCTCTCATCCTCCCCAAAAAATGTTCAAACAGTCAGCAGAAGACTGCTTCAGTGCTAAGATTTCACTGATAATGACTTTGATATTAAACTTCCGAGAGGTGCCAATTTTAATTAATAAGGTCACTCTGGGCTTAAGTTCCATTAAAGATTGCCTGTTCTCTTCGGCATGAACCTTTAAAATTAAATCCTTCTCCCTGCTGAAGACAAAGTCATGGTAATTTTCTGAGGATGTATGGTTCTCTTTCTTCCCAGAAAAACACACTTTTCCTCACTGTTCATACGGGTAACTCAGTTACATTACTGACACTCCGACTATCTTGAAGAGAGGAGGCGAGACTGAAAGAAGGGGAGGAGGAGGAAGTGAGGACAGGGCCAAGACATGAATACGAACATATTCGAATCACAAGACCCAGATTCATCACCAATGATCAACATCACCAACTTTAACATGCATAGCTTCATAGTTTCCTCAAGCTGGTGGCAGGAGAGAGAAATTGCAAATATGAGGGGGGTTTGGCAAACTCTTGCTGACTTGAAGATGGAGGGGCCACGTGAGAAGACACGGGGCACCTAACGGAACACAGGACAGCACAGAACAAGGACTTCCATTCCACAACTAAGTACTGGGTAGGAAGACTGCAGAATCTCACAAGGAAGGTGGGTATGGTGGGTGGGCGGGAACTGATCAACCAAAGAACTTGTATGCACTTATGCATATTCTATGGACAATAGCGTGGTGAAGGCCTGGGGTGGGGGGCAAAGGTGGGCTAGAAAAAGTCATGGGGAAAAAAGGGAACACATGTAATACTTTCAACAATAAAAACTTTAAAAAATAAGTACTGGATGGGATAATGGTCAGAGAAACAACAAATGGCATATCTGAGTCCTAACTCAGGACCTGTGAGTGTAGCCCTATTTGGAGAAAAGGTCTTGGCATGTAGTTAAGGATCTCCAAATAAGATCACCCTGGATTTAGGGTAGACCTCAAATATAATGACAGATATCCTTATGAGAGAGAGGCAGAGGCAAATCTGAGACAGGCACACAGAGGAGAAGGTCACGTGAGGACTGAGGCAGCGAGTGGGGTCACGTCACGCTGCCATAAACCAAGGATGGCGGGCAGCACCAGAAGCCAGGAGAGAGGCGTGGATTCAAGGTCAGACTCTCCAGAAGTAGCCAACTCTGCTGACAGGCTGATGTCAGCCTTCTGGCCTCCTGAGCTGGGAAGAGTACATTCTGTTGTTTTAAGCCAGTCCGGTGGGGTCCTTCGTTACTGCAGCCCTAAGAAACTAACACAAACTGCGAGGAGCCATTCTGCCACCAACCTGAGCGAGCGGGGAAGCAGATTTCTCCCGGGTTTCAGACCAGGACTCGTCCTCGTGGACAGACACCTGGTTTAGGCAGCAGGAGCTCCTAGCAGAGAGCCACGTCCCACGGGATCTGTGGGCCTCTGACATAAGGAGCCTGACTTAACAAACAGATGTTGATGTAAGCCACGAAGCGTGTTAACGTTAGCGAATACTGACAAGCCAAAGTCAAAATCTTGATGGTGAGCATCCTTTCCTTGGAAATGCCCTTGAGTAGCACTTCAGATTTGTGATCAAAGGAACCCCAG